GGGAAAAATGGAGATGAGCACAGTCCGTTAAGTTTCTGCACCTACCATCCACTGTGAAGTCCTGTTGCCACAACAGCTCCCATTTGTCACGTGAAAAGGTGTCCTGAAACATGCTGGTTTGTGATGCCATTAACGTATTGTTATATATTACTAAAATAAATTTACTGTCATGATTTTTAGCCTTTCATCTTAAAACATTCTTTATAGACACTTAGAAAACAAATATGCTGAAAACGCTTCATCACACAGTGGAAACAGAGGAGGCAAGGTGTCACATGGCTATGTCATTTAGTCCCCAGAATTTAAATTTGAGCAGTTACAGGAAACTACCAGCCCCCGCTTTTGCATGTTGAAGTCATGGTTTCCAGATGGGGCTTTGGCTCCTACCAAACACCAGCACTTATTTCCTCAGCTGAGCCAAAAGCTGACTGGTCAGCAGCGCTCACCTGGGCTGCTGAAGTCCCGGGGAAAGAAAGAAGTCCCTTTGTGCTCGCCTGGCAGTCAGCTCTGCACACTCTTAAAGTCCCAAGAGGAAGGCATGGCATGGAACAGTGTTCTAGGGAACCTCTACCAGCACAGGGTTTAGAGGGTTCTCTGGTATGTTGCCCAAGGGGAACTTGGATGCCAGGATCCCTAGGCCTGAGGGATGGGATGGCATCCGGAGAAACTTAGACAAGCTTGTGCAGTGGGCCCAGGAGCACCTCATGAGGTTTGACAAAACCGAGCGCAAGGTCTGGCACCTGGGTGGTGGCAGTCCTTGCTATCAGTACAAGCTGAGGGATGAAAGGGTCAAGCACAGCCCTGCCAGAAAGGGCTTGGAGTTACTGGTGGATGACAAGCTGGGCATGAGGCAGCAGTGTGCCCTTGCAGCCCAGAAAGGCAACTGTACCCCAGGCTGCATCAAAAGCAGTGTGGCCAGTAGGGTGAGGGAGGTGATCCTGCCCCTCTGCTCTGTGCTGGTGAGACCTCACCTGGAGTACTGCATCCAGAGGTGGAGTCCTCAGCACAGAAGAGATATGGACCTGTTGGAGTGTCCAGAGGAGGGCCATAGTAATGATCCAAGGAATGGAACACCTCCCTGTAAGGACAGACTGAGAGAGCTGGGGCTGTTCAGCCTGGAGAAGGGAATGTTCTGGGGAGACCTGAGAGCGGCCTTTCAGTATCTAAAGCATTTACAAGAAAGAAGAGGACAGACTCTTTAGCAGAGTCTGTTATAATAGGACAAGGGGAGATGATTTCAGACTAAAGGAGGGGAGGTTTAGATTGGATATAAGGAAAAAGTCTTTTACAGTGAGAGTGATGAAGCACTGGCACAGGTAGCCCAGAGAGGTGGTGGATGCCCCATCCCTGGAGACATCCAAGGTCAGGCTGGAGGGGCTCTGAGCACCCTGATCAGCTGTAGATGTCCCTGCTCATTGCAGGGAAGTTGGACTGGGTGACGATCAAAGGTCCCTTCCAACTCAGAAGATTCTATGAACTTTCTACAGCTCTGCTGCATCTGCTCTCCCTAAAGACCTGTACTTCAGCTCTGACAATTGCTCAGGTCCAGAGAGGGGCAGAGGAAAGATTAGAAAGAAAAACATCTGAGAGACAAATAATCAGCACTCCTGATGCCATTGAAAATAATTACATGGCAGCTCTCACAAAACACAGTGAACTGTTACCAATGTCTGGTCTTCATCTTTCTTCTGTAATCTTGATTGCTTGCATGGAACCACTGCAAAGAGAAGTGAGTCACACAGAGACACATGAGATGCAATTAACTGTGTGGAGGTGGAATCTCTGGAAATGTGTGCTGTGAAAACTGACAATGCTTCCAATATTTTCCCTTAAGGAAGCACCAACAAACAAACTTCTCTACGCTAAGGACATTCCGCTGTACAAGAAGGAGGTGAAGGCGTACTACAAAGCCATCAGGGATCTGCCTCCCCTGACCACTTCAGAGGTTGAAGAATTTCTAACTCAGGAATCTAAGGTGCGATTGAGAAGTGGGAGCTTCGTTTGCATTTTTTAGAAAACGAGAACTATCTGACCAGAGCTGTTTTTCTGTTCTAGAAACATGAAAATGAATTTAATGAGGAAGTGGCCTTGATGGAAATCTACAGATACATTGTGAAGTATTACGATGAGGTGAGCACTCACTGGGCCCAGCACACTGACCAGGCCAGGCCTCTCCCTGCTGGATGCCACTGAGGCTGCAGTCCCATCTGCATGTGGGTTTCCCAGCACAGGGTGTGATGCACCCTGATGTCAGCGCTGCTTCACTGCACCACAGAAGTCTCCCTGCAGAGAAAGTAGCCAATGCTTTGTGTTGTAGTGTTTGCACAGTATCCCTTATTGCCTGCCATAGCGCCTGTGCTTGCGCTCCTTTTCTCCAGGGAGTGAGAAAACAGATCAGGATGCAGCACCAGGGATCTTAACAGTTGGCATGAACCCCTCAGCAGAGCACTCAGCCCTGCAGCAAGACATGTCTGCTCTTTTCCCATCACAGCCCTCTGCTCCAACAGCTTTTCTCTTAAGGAAAAGAAGCTATGGTGCTATTATTAACAAAGAACCTTTTCTCACCTGGATTCACTTAGCCACTGGCTGCCTCCAGGCTGCCCTGTGAGGAGCTCTCTGCCCTCACTTTGCCCCAGGGGGATTCTCGTTTCAGTTTGCTCGGCTGTTAGTGAGAAGCTGCAGTACCTGCAGCAGCAGAGGCATCTGAGGTGCAGTCCCAGAGCCTCTCAGCAGCACAGTGGCTGCCTGGTTGCAGCGCCCAGCTGCTGGGCACCTGGTGGCTCCTGTTTCTGGTCTCCAGCATCTTGAGTTATCTGGCTTTGGCATCAAACTTCTCTTAAAAAAAGCTTGATGTGATAATTGGAAAAGCAGAACAGTTTATTAAGCTTATTAGAATTGCTGACACACAAGAGTTCAAGATACATTCCAATCTTAATGCCAATTTTTGCTCTTTTGAAGGCATAAAACCTCACTACACTTAACCCCATCCTTAGGACACTCTCCCTGTGCTTCCCCCAGGCACTCGGGGGGGGAGGAACAGCTACACCTCTGCCATTGCTCTTGACCCCTTTGTAGCGGTGCCAGCAGCATTCTCTGACACAGCAGTGCTCAGGGCTGCTTCCCATTGCCTGCTGGGTGCCAAAGGGGAGCTGTGGGGTGGCAGCTCCTTGCCCTCTGCTCATGGGAAGAGGAGGAATAAAGTTTGAGTGCAGATCCGCGCTGGAGTAAAACTGCCCCACGCACTTCAACAGCTGAACGTGGAGGGGATTCATCTGCTTCTTAGCTCGGCTCTGTCGTTCTTGTCTAGATGTGTTGCAATTGCTGTAATTATAATGACTTGAAAGGAAAGCTACCAAAATGAAGTGCTGAAGTCAGAAGGGAATGTTTACATACAGACGGGCATTCAGATGAGTTCTTCTGCCAGTGGCTGCTGGAATGCAGACAAGTAGGCTTTAAAGAGCAGCGAATCAAAGAAACACTAACAAAATGATTCTCTTTTTTGCTAATTGTTAACAGATTGTCAGCAAACTCGAGCGAGAACGGGGGTTTGAAGAAGTCCAGAAACAGCTCCAGCAAGTAAAAGCCTTATTTGATGAAAAGAAGAAATGCAAATGGGTTTGAGCAAAGCACTGCCTCACAGCATCACTGCGGGGAACTTGAAATAAGCGCTGCTGCTCCCCAGGCAGTTCTGAATGACTCTGTACAGGGCTCGAGCCACTTGAACACTGCTTCACTCTGACCATTCCATACCTGAGTGTGGGAACGAAGGGTGCACAGGGCTGGATATTGGACGTGCCAATGTGATTGTGCAGCTGAGGCTGGCACTGGCAGCCCAGAGGTTTTAGATACTTGAACCCAGGTACCTTTTTGGTTCGAAGCTACTGCCTCTGTAAGCTTCCCACAGACTGAAAAGCAGCTTGTAGGATCTGCACGCTGCAAGCTCGGAGTTGCCCATGTGAACCTTTACGTTGCTTTGCTCTGTTTTGAAAAGAGAAAGCTGATGGTTTGCCACACCCTTTCCACAGCCGCAGACAGGCTGTGGGGTCAGCACGCTGGTCAGCTGCAGGCTCCTTCCTTCCAGACAAATGTAGGCTGGCTCCTGTTGCAATGAAAACCAGCACCCAGTGACACTTGGGAGAAGCTTGCTTTGCAAGGAGGTGGGGCTGAGCTTTGAAGTGCAAATGCCACATGGCAGGAGTTTAGAAATGGCTTTGCAGGGGGAGCCAACCACAGATCAGGGCTTTGGAGAAAGGAGCTGCACTGGCATCAGTCTGTGTTTACATTTCTGCCTCTCCGTCCTTACACAAGCTGTGAAACCCCTGTGAGCAGCTTCGCAGGTGTAACCTCTGTGGCCACGCTGCCTCAGAACAGGCAGCTGTGATGGCTGCACTCAGAGCACAGCCCCTCTCTGCCAGCTCTGTCTGCCTCACTGCCTGTGTGCAGGTGGCTTACAAACCCAACGCCAGCATCTCATTGTATTTTTCCAAAACCAAACAAAGGTTTTGTCAAAAGAAGGTTAGCTGGGACTTGGGCAGCCTGCCCTCATCCTGCTGGGGTGGTTTTCGAGGCATGGATGTTTTCAAAGAAAGACCTGGGAGGAAGAAGCATTGCATTTGTGGCTGACACCCAATGGAAGAGCTGTGGTGCCGCTCTGATGCCACACAGCTGCACTCCCATGTGAGCTGCAAGATTTGGTTACCCTGGGCTCTGCTTTGATTGCTATAATGGCACATACTAAGGCTTCAGCCAGCACCCAGGTTTCAGGCAGGGCTTTGATCAGCGGCATCTCCTCTACAACATGGGAGAATGCCCAAAAAGCATTGCCTCGAGGCTCCTGAGGGCCTCACCGCTGGGCAGCCATGCACTGTCCTCTGCCTCGGTACAACTGGTTCACACTTAGAGTAGGCAGCATCTTCTGAGTCTTGAGATGAGGCAGAGATGTGGCACATGGCTGCCAGGCAGCCTAACAGGTGTTCCCATGCAGCACTGCCTTGGTGAGGCCCAGAGGCCACAGCACACCAGCAGAGCAGAGCTGGCCAGGCTGGCTGTGCATGGCTGGCCAGCAGCAGGGGGGGCAAACAGCCGCACCTGGGCAGAAGGAAGGGCGTCTGCTACCATGGGAAAAACGAAACAAAACACGTTGCCTACTGGTCTGCCCCCTCCCTGCTGTATGATTGCACAAATTGTTCCTCTTGCAGATTAGAGAGGGGTGCTGCCAGTCCGTACTGTGATGGCTTTGTTTTAATTCAAGTCTTATACTTGCTATTAAGTTTACACTTTATACTTGATGGAATGTATAGCTTTGTTCAGGAAGCTGCACTACAATGTTGCAGTGCTTTCAGCAGTTCTCTCCTCTGCCAGGCCTGATAAGTTTCAGTTTAATGGAAAAGAGCTGAACCGAGCTGAACCAATTCTAACCTATCTTGCCCTCTGTCCTACAGGAGTGGACTGTGGCTTGAGTAGCACATAAATGCAGATCAGCTGTACTTAAGGGCTGTGATTTTTAATATTCTTAACCTGACTTTTTAAAGCAGCGTCAAACTAATCAATAATAAAGCACAGTAACTACCACTGAAGGACAGGCATCAGCAGTTTGCTTGCTGCACTCAGACAGACGTCTCACGAGTTGAGCTCCATTTCAGTTGTTGGCTGGAAGTGCATTAGAAGGAAAGGCGCTCGTTTTGTTCAACAGTGACCTTCTGTACAGGCAGAAGCACAACTCACAACTTCTGCTTGGAAAGCTGTAAAATAGAATCTGTTTGCGTGGGTCTGATCCTGTGAACCTCACTCTGTGTGTTTATATGATGAGAAAACTGAAACCAGTCCTATTCTGTATTTGTACTACTGCTTGTTTGCTGCAATAGCGTTAATGATTTCTAGAGATTAAGTATGTGTTGAAGCAGGCCCTGTAGCTTTACCTACGGCCTGGAATAGGATTCTCGCCTTGTATCAGAGCCTCCTGACCAGCTTCACTCTGTTGTAGCCCATTTAAAGTCATGCTGGGATTTCGTAAACCATGAAGTGGATCTCACAAAGTGATGTGAAGTATAATGAAGTGATTGTAGCTCTTGTGGTAGGTTTGGGACCTCACAAAACATTGGCACAACTCCCACCCTCACAGTCTGCTGTTACTCAGACAAAACAAGGTATGACTAAAGCTGCCTTCTGGCAACCCAACAATTGTAGTCGCATTCTCTGAAATGACATCAAGCCTCTCTTCAACTGATTTCCACATGTTTACAGGCAAACAGCTACTGCAAACAGCTTATTTTCTAACACTAGCTTACAGAGCATTATTTTGCAGTCATTTAAAGTCAAATGCTACTAATGTGTAAAGTAATTCCTGTTGTACAGAAGTTAACCTGTTGTTTAAAATGAATGGTTTGAAAAAAGTGCAAACGACAAATACATGTTGGTGTTTGTATGGGTTTATCTCGAATAAAATGCATTTGAAGGCTGGTTAGATTATTTGTGTTTTAAAATGGTTAAGAGAGCAAACAGCTTCGCAGTGGTGCCCGGGTCAGGAGGGGAGTACAAGATGCAGTGTAATCAGCTTCCATTGCTTCCAGCAGTTACAGGTGCCATGCACTGCTTTCCTTGGAGAGCACTTAGGAAACTGTAATACAGCGCTTATATTTACCTATGGCACAGAAAGTAAAACATGCTGGAGAGCAAAGCTGAATCCATGACATTGTCAGCCACCATCTGCAGCTCATTCCTCAGCTGACTGTTCCTATGCTTCCAACAATATGCAGTCAAGTATTAAACACTTTTCACTAATGAATTTACCTGCAGTATCCTGGAAAAAAAAAAAAAGCAAGAAAAAAAGTCATCCCACATCCCCAAGTTTTCACTATCAAGTCATTAAAAATTAATTGAACCTCCACAGGTATCAAGCTGATAACCAAGGAAACCAACTTAAAGAAACCTTAAATAAATAATTTTATTGTAGCTGACAAAACAAGCTCCAGTGGCAACAAATACAAACTAATGTTTTCATCATGTGAAGGCAATTTGTTATACTTCATGTCTATGTTATTTTTAAAAAAAACTGATCACTGCTTCTTCCCATTACAAAACCAAGAGGCACATGGACAACAGCAAAGTCAGGAGCACCCATTTCACCCCATCTGTCTGCATGGGAACTTCGGAGCACCACTCCAGGCATGGATTCCAGCAGCTGATTTACAATCCAGACCTCAAATCTGCAGAGCTTCACAATGGCAAGGCCCTACAGTGAGCAAGTAAGGGAGTACTATCAAAAATGTAGTTTATTTCATGTCTTGACTTCCAAATATTTGTATAGCATTTCTATAAAGATATTTTCAAAATGCAGTTATGTTTTCATTTAGATACCATTTCGTTTCTATCAAAATAGAAAACTACACAGAATATATTTCCCACACCTCAGCACACACAGTCGTGCTTCGGAGGATATTAAGAGCGCGTAGCCAGGAGAAGCTACTGAAAACAGCACCTACAGTTTGCACCTTATGTGGAGTCCTCGCTCTGCACAGCAGCTCCCTCTGCTCCCCTGCTGGACACCAGCTCCCTGCGTGTTACTGCTGTGAGCCGCTCCCCAGCCGGCCCAAGCTCCTGCAGCTGCTTTCTCTGCGTGGTTTCGAGATCTTCCAGCCGCTTACGAAGCAGGGAGAGCTCTCTCTGATGCTGTTCTTCCTTGAAATTAATAAAAGTGGCTCTATTATATTTTGCATACCTCCAAGGGACCAGCAGTCGTTTCATTTTTTAAAGTAATGATTTTGAAACAAAAACTCTAACGCGACGCTCGGAATGTCGTTATTCATTACATTCCAGCCCCCAACAACCCCCAGTTCTAGCAGGTCTCACTCTGACACTCAAGGCAAACAGCAGCAAGAAATGGAGCGCAGCACTGCTAGATGAAGACGCACAGCAGCTGTGGCCTCACTTCAGGGACAGCAATCAGCAGTGCTGGCTGGGCCACCTCAGAGAGATTATCGCCCTCAGAAGCACTCTGGGGTACATAAAATGCTTTTAAGCCCACAAGAAATGAAGAGTGGCAATCCTGTTTTGTAATTATGGAGTCATGATGTGAGGAAAAACACTATGACATTTCTTGTCCAGAAGGAGCCATTTAAAGCCTCAGAATAAGCACAGAGGCAGAGAACAGGGTTAGAACTGCGTTTGTTACATTCTGTAACGTGCCCTTTGTCTTTCAAGAACTCCTTACCATTATCATAGAATCACAGAATGGCCTGGGTTGAAAAGGACCACAATGACCATCTGGTTTCAACCTCCCTGCTATGTGCAGGGTCGCCAACCAGCAGACCAGGCTGCCCAGAGCCACATCCAGCCTGGCCTTGAATGCCTCCAGGGATGGGGCATCCACAACCTCCTTGGGCAACCTGTTCCAGTGCCTCACCACCCTCTGTGTGAAAAGCTTCCTCCTAATATCTAACCTAAGCCTCCCCTGTCTCAGTTTAAGACCATTCCCCCTTGTACTATCACTATCCACCCTCGTGAACAGCTGTTCCCCTTCCAGTTAATATGCCATTATGGAAGGAACATAACTAAAGGGATTCCTCCCTCTTTTTAAAGATCTTCTGTTCCTCCCTTCCTTATTAAAGTCCCAACCCCTCCGTTGCATTATTGCTACGTGCTGTGACACAGTACCTGAAGGAGGAGGAAGGAGACGTCAGGCCCCGGAGGCGGGACAGGCACTGATGTTACACTGACTGGGTTCAGAGATGGGATGCCAGGATTCAAAATCAAACTCCGGAATTCGTTGTGTCTGCGCTGCAAGTCCTTCAGTCTCCTCTGAAGACGTGTGTGTTCTTCATAGGAAACATTCTGCCTATGAAATAGCATTTCTTAGCGCTCTAAATACTTATGATCACCTCTCTGTGAGTACTTTGCTGCTTACTGTCCTTGTGCAAGAGAACTACCATAAACTACCATGAAGACATGAGTGTGAACCACCCATGCATATTTCTCTGCCTAAAAGGCCAGAAGTGCCACTACACAGTAACCTACAGCAGGATTAGATTTTACACGGAATAAACTAAGCTGCTAATAGCATTCACAGTGGTGAGCCACAGGTGCACCATTAAATTCATTATTTGAACCAAGCCATCCATACAGCACAATGAAGAGAAAAAGAATCTGGTCCTTCCAAGAGGGCATTATGTCTGTTTTCCTTTGTCGTTCTGAAGTCAGTTTTCTTTCCTGTCTTCCATCTCCACACACTGTGCTTTCATCTCCAACACTGCTTCACTCACATCTTTTTTTTTGGTAAAAAGAATTTGTTCTTTTGAAGGGATTCCTGCAACCACATCTATACAGTTTTCAGATTGCTTTCTTCTATCTCTCCACCACCAACACAGCCATCAGAAATGGACTCCACTCACAGAATTCCCATGTGGACAACACCATTAGATTGTACTCCACTTACCACACTAACTAGCATGCAACTTCATATTTCAGAGTCAGATTTGGGGCATATATCATTTTTTCAAGCTAAGAAAAAGCAATTATTTATTACCTATTTAACACCTGGTTTTCTTTTTCTAGTTCTTCTATCTTGGCTTCCAAAAGTTGTAGTTTCTCTTGCATCCTCCTTTGTTTATTATCATTGAGAGTCTTCCTCTGCCAAAGAGACATTTCAAATAAAGCAAAGTAATGCTTTGATAGATCAGTTCCTGTGAAATCAAATCTGTCCTGCACATGGCTTAATGCTCTGACAAGTCTCTTCTCACTGATGACAGGACGAGGGGATATGGCCTCAAGTTGCACTAGGGGAAGTTTAGGTTGGATATTAGGAAACACTTCTTTACAGAAAGGGTGGTTAAGCACTGGAATGTGCTCCCCAGGGAAGTGGTTAAGTCACCATGCCTGGATGTGTTTAAAATCCGTTTGGATGTGGTGCTGAGGGACATGATATAGCAGAGGGTTGTTAGTTAGGGTAGTATGGTTAGATGATGGTTGGACTCGATGATCTTTAAGGTCCTTTCCAACCTGAGCGTGTGAGTGATTCTAATAACCAAGCAGTCCACCTCTTAAAAGCACAGAAATACACACAGAGATAAACCCTCACCAAATCGTTGATGGCATTAAAACAAAGTTGTCAGCTGTAACATTCTTGTGCACATCACTTCAACACATTTCTCCGCTAAGAACTGGATGTACTTTGTCATTATATACAGCAGATTGCAAATCAACTCTTAATATTAAAACAATTCTGGTCTGAAAAGCTGAACTTTTCATAAATAGGATCATTTACAAAAGAAGAGCCAACGTGCCTTTTTTTGAGCAACTGCAGCTCGACACAGCTTGTTCTTCACCTCGTTGTATTTCTCTTCCTTCTCTGTGATGCGCTGAGTAAGCAGATGCTTCTCCTCCAGCCACTCCACACGCTTGTATTCTAAAGTCCTTCAAAAAGACAGGTTAAAAGGGTAAGGAGTTACACAGATGAAGCAGTGTTTTGGCTTAATGCCTTAAGGCTCTTAAACACTTCTTTTCACAGCTTCCATCTTTATAGACTTCAAACTTCCAACTTAAATGTGACTGTGCTCAAGACTCACCATATTTGAACCGGTGCATTAACATAACCTTAGAGGTTTTACATCTTTGAAGGAAATGTTGAAGACTAAATCCAGTAACTGTGCAGAGAACATCTCTAAATTCCAATCAAATCATCACACTGGAATACAATATGAAACAACTGTGCCAAGCATCAGCTGTTAGAAGGGCTGATGACTGCTCTCTGTGCTCGAGAAGTGAGGCACAGCAGTGGGTTGCTGCCATTTGTGCTACACAAATCCTTTGTAATAGAGAAGTTTAGACTTGACTATTCTGTCCTCCCAAGCAGAACAAACACCAGCATGACAAGAAGCTCCCACAGATACGCTTCCTAGACGGCATCCCAGCTGAATGCACGTCACCGCCAACATCTATTCTTTGTTTAGAACTTTGCACAGTTGTAACATATTAAAATTAGGCTGTGATCTCCAGCAGTGGACTGGGAAAGTAGGAAGTTTCTCTGCTGGATTTTTTGTTGCAGCTATCTCAAAGCAGAGAAGAACTAACTGCCTATTTAACTACTTTGTGACAAAAAAAAAAAAAAGTCAAATGGTGAGATTCTGTCCAGCAGTTTTTAAGAAACACAGATCGGTGTCAGTGCACTTAGACTTGGGCTGATGCAGTTTCCCTGATGGGAGTCTTGATGATTCTCCATAAAGCTCTCAAACACCCTTTCCCTTCCCCACAGTGTTAACATCACTCAAATCATTACCAGGATCCTGGCCTACCTGAAATCCTTAACTGCTCTTTTAGTTGATCACAAAAAAAATTATTACTACCCCAAAGGAACCAAAGAGAAATGCACTGCTTAACAGCAGAACTTCAGCTGAGACACTGGTTAAAAATCTCACAACATTTTTATTTTTTTTAAGGAAATTCCACTAATGTTGTTCCTGAAATGTTTAACAAGTGCCTCCTTCAGCTCATCTCTCATCTTTATCAGTTTATCAGGCTCATGATTTGCCTTTGGCTCTTTTTCTCATTTCACTTTTTCATTTCCAAGCTTAAACCAGACACAGCTAAATTCTTTGCCTACTCTTGCTGTTTGCCCAAATAGCATTAGTTTAACTTATCTGAAGCTGGTTATCTCAGGCTCTCTTATCTTTTGGTCCTTTTTTGTTGCTTCACTTTAAGCTATATTGCTTTGGTGCTCCTTAACTTCTGGAGTTCAAGCTCAAAAGAATTACTGAACTGAGGAAAGAAGTCACATCAGCCACACAGAAAAAAAGGGAAACATCCCAAGATTTCTGTGGTAAGAGAAGAACAGACTGGGAGGACTTGCAGGTAGGCTGCAAAGCTTCTTACAGTAACAGTCTTGGTGCATCTCCTATTATCTATAGATTTATAAAATTATCTTGGCCTCATATCAGCTAAAAGGATGTGGTAGAAGAAGTAAAAAGTACACACATATAGGCTGGGTCCCCAAAATCTTATCAAAGCACAATAATACAGTCACTTGTTTCACTTTTCATGCTTCAACACTCTTTAACATTCAAACACTGTGTGAAATTCTGGATCCACTCTATATGCAAGTTTTATGTTCACTTCAATGGAAATAGAATCTCATTTTATAAAATTGGTGCATTTCATTAGTCAATAACGAATTGTAATAGATATGAATGGAATCAAACCCCTACTTCTGAAGTTATCAGGAGCAAAGTTTTTATATATACAGCATAACAAAAGGTATGGCTTTTTTTTGTCAGCACAATTGTCCAGTCTTTCTTGCTGACATTTAATCATAGAATCATTTGAGTCAGGAGGGACCTTTAAAGGTCACCTGTTCCAACTCCCCTGCAGTGAGCAGGGACACCACAGCTACATCATGTTAATTTCAGACACTTTCAGAATCTACATTTCATACTGGCAATCCATGTGAAAGCAATACAAGCAGTGTGAAAACAAAAAGTAAAACCAAAAAAGAACAAAATTTACTTCTCTGTTTCCAGTTGGGCTTTTTCTGCCTGAGTTCTTGCATTTTGACATTCTTGTCTCAATCTTTCTACTGTTTCCTTCAACTTCTGATTATATTCCAGCAAATCACTTTCTGACCGAGAAAGTGAAGCGACTTGGAGTTGCATGTCTTTAATTTGCTATAAAAAAAAAAAAAATATTTCCATTTGAGAAGAAATGCAAATATCTACATTAATTTTGAGATACTGCACATGTGAACTGGCTGCATTCATTTACCATAAACCTTTCTTGTTTGTTCCCTTTCTCCTTACTCAACAGCTTATCTAGCAGTTTTACAGTAAACTACTACTAGACAAGAAAGAACTTTTCTATTGTTGTTGAAATAAGAAAGAGAAGGAGAGGAAGGAGTCCAGTCTGAGTCTCCTGTAACTCAGGGAATCTGACATTAGGCCTTAGAGCTGAACAGAACCAGAACATCAAAGCACACCAATGAGTTGAGCTTTGGAGCTACTCAGACTCTTCTCTCTCCATTACAGCCCTCAGTGGCTGCACCAACCAGTTCACAAAAGCAAGTAGAGTCTGAAAAGTCGAATTCCTGCAGTCAGCACAGAAAAAGGATGCTTATTCCCCTTTTCCTCTCCCTAATTACATGCTCAGATATCTTAATTTCTACACACAAAAAAATATCAACTTCAGGTGCACACAGCTTCCAGACTTCTTTAATGCACAGCCACATTTATATCTACCAAGGAATAGTACAGCTGAGCAGGAGTTAAAAGAATTAGGTTTCATTTGCATTACTGCCATTAATTCATCTTGCAATAGAAATAAATCTTTTTACACCAGTTTATTCGTTTATGAAACATCTGTTAAGCACTTGAAGAACCTCAGATGAGAGATGCAGTGTAAATGCAGAGCATTACCTAGAAACAGTTTATAGTTTCCATGGAAACTGAATCTCCAGTTAAATAGTGCATAACCATATTCAATATAGCAGCCTATAAACATTCCATTTTGAAATCATTGATACCTACAAAATGCACAAGGCAGAAAGCTGTAATCCATTTATGAAGGTCCAGGAAAGCAGGGCTGATTCCTGAACGCTTGATTTACAGAGCTGTTAAATGCATTTTGTCCCTCAGAATAAAAAAATCCTTAAAAATCCAATCTGATCTTCAGACACTGGACATGGTAACTGCAGGAAAGGCTGTGTTTCTCTATGAAACGTTACCAAAACCCTTACCTGTTTTAGATCATCTCTTTCACGTTTGTTTTCTTCGAGCTCCTCTGTCTGAATAGCTTGCTGTTGAATTTTTAATCTAAAATTGTTTAAGATACTCTTATTTTTATCTCATTAAAATATAGATGTTAGATGCTAGTACAAATCAGTCTGACAATAGAACACGTTGCATACATATTTAGCAGTCTTACCAATTAACTACAAAATGTCTAACAATCTATTTTTATTGATGACTATATACGTTGGTTTGATTGCTGTTGGAGTAAGAATTTTGCTGGTTTTCTCATACTGACCTTCATACAAATACCACAGCAAACCAACTTCGCTGAGGGTTATAATAAAGAACTCACAGATATCATATTATTGTCCCAGTTTGCCAGTTGCTGACACGTGCCATTGTGCAAAGAAAAATGGTATCTTATAATACTGCCATTTGCAAGTGGCCAACATGGTCCAAATTCCAATACAGATAATGAAATTTACTTCTTCAAAATGTTCATTAAAGTTGCAGTGTTTTTAAGATTCGGATGAAAAACGTTCACTTTTGATAAACAGCACATTTTTTTCTGCTCCCATCTTTTTACACTCTGCACAAGATACTTTGTTTCATTTCACATAATCAACGTTTACATGCCTATAAATAGTAAACCTGTCTAATGACTAGTGAGAAGAAATTAGGGAAAAAAATGAGCCATTTGCTTTAAGGTTAGGAAAGGCACTACCGCAAACACTGAAGTTCCCTTTTGCTAGATTCTTCTGCCAGCTGTACCACACGTAGCTTCTCTTCGTACTGATCCTTTTCAGTTTGTCTCCAAGCGTCCTGTTCCAACTTCACCTTCTCCACATGAGCTAATCTGCTCTCGAGTTCTAACCTGAAACATTATTCAGTATTTACAGGAGAACCACGATAAAGCGCTAAGAGACTGTTACTAAAAATAACATTTAAAAACCAAACATTTTTCTCAGGACTTTTAGAAGCTTAGCAGTAAATCAACACATACTTTTCATCCTGTAAAGCTGCAATTTTTCCAAAAACTTCCTCTTTGGCAGCTTGCACTTTACGAACCAGCTCTTGATCCTTTTCTACTAAAAGCACTTTATGACGCTCAACAGCTTCCTTAAGAACTTCTTTGTCTGACAGCAATCCTGCATTATACATTAAAAAAAAAAAAATAATGTTAAAATGTTGTTATTGATGTCATCCTGATGAAATTCTTTATTAGAATCAATTTATCAGTAGCAAAAAGGGAGCCAAAAATCTGAGTTCACAGGATGGAATGTGAATGAATGAAAAAATAAAACAAGGAAGACAAAAGAGATCATCATAGAATGGCCAGGGTTGGAAGGGACCTCAAGGATCATCAAGCTCCAACCCCCGTGCCACATGAAGGGCCACCAACCTCAGTGTCTAATGCTAGACCAGGCTGCCCAGGGCCCCATCCAATCTGGCCTTGAACATTTCCAGGGATGGGGCATCCACAACCTCTCTGGGCAGCCTGTTCCAGTACCTCACCACTCTCTACATCTGTAAAGAATTTCCCCGTGACGTCCAACCTAAATCTCCCCTCCCTCAACTTAAAACCATTTCCCCTTGTCCTGCAGTTATCAACCTTTTCAAAGAGTTGATTCCCCTCCTCTTTGTAGGCTCCCTTTAGGTACTGAAAGGCTGCAATGAGGTCACCCCGCAGCCTTCTTTTCTCCAGGCTGAACAAGCCCAGCTCCCTCAGCCTGTCCTCACAGGGGAGGTGCTCCAGTCCCCTGATTATCTTCATGGCCCTCCTCTGGACCCTCTCCAACAGCTCCCTGTCTTTTTTGTACTGCAGACTCCACACTTGGACGCAGTACTCCAGATGGGGCCTCACAAGAGCAGAGTAGAGGGGAACAATCACCTCCCTGTCCCTGCTGGCCACCCAAGACTGTGACAATCAAGGCAATCTAAGCAGATGAAGGTTATGACAAACCCGTGAAGAGAGTCCAGTAAAAGCTGGGTAGTGATTTACATCATCAGCAACTAGTCCTACAAAGCTTTGGCCTTACAATAGGCTACTTCACATTGCCAACTGGCTCAGCTGTTACCTGGTTGCTTAGACCATTGCCTGTTTTGTTCATAGAACAAGCTAGAAATTATATTTTGTTCCACAAAAGTGGTCAATCTATCTTTTTTTTTTCCGAAATTCCATGGGTACAGAATTGGTTTCAAGCAAATTGCAAATAGCTGTACAATTTGGCAGTAAATAAAAAGGAAGCACATCATTTGAGACAGATTATGCTCAACTTGTATCACAACTCAATTAATTTACACAAATGCAGTTTGCCCTGTAACAGTCCTTCATGACCTAGGAGATCAAGTGGTAGGATACAGTTCTTTCAGACACCGAAATGAGTTTTCTGATCTATCACTTAGACTAGAAGCAGAAGGTGAAGATTGTTGGGAAACATTTGGAGGAAAAAAATAATTGAAGTGCTCTAAGTGAAAGTTATCAAAGAAACCAGTAGAAATTAATTTCACTAGAAATGTATTGTGTATTTTACCATCCATTTCACTTTGAATCTTGTTTCTCTCTCTTTCTACTTCATTCTTAGTTCTTGCTGCCTCCAGTTTGACATTTGTCACTTCTAATTTGTGTGACTGTTTAAGTTCTTCTACCTATGAATTAGAAAAATAACAAATCCACTGAAAATAAATACATATGGATTCACAGCTTTACTATTTTTCAGGCAATGCTTTGCTAACAAGAAAATCCGTCAAATAATGATAATTAGGTTTATTTTAAATATATCTTCATAAATTTTTTTTTTTTTTTTTTTTTTAATCCACAGCTTTCCTGAAAGTCATACCACAATATCCAGATTCGTAGATAATAGTTAATGGTGATTATGTAGGTATTGTAACACTCAATCTATTGACATGTTTTATTACTTCAAGTCAGACGTTCAAAATTCATGGATGTATTGTCACTCATCTTGAAACACAAGGTTTCTGTGTTCCCTAATGAAGACCAAGTGCCCAAATACCCCATAGGTTCCAAGAATCAAGCTGTCTGACAATGGACATGGATTTCATCTTTACCCAGACAGTTACTACAAGCCATAGCGTAGGAAATACTCTTCAAGATTTAGCAAAAATGTGCAGGATTACCTGTAAAAACTCAGCAAATATCATGCATTCTGCAAGCAAGCTTCCAAACAGTGGAGTAGTTCTGAAAAGATTGCTTATTTGAACTGTCTTGCTGGGACACTGATCCAATATTGCATACAACCCAGGTGCCTCACTAAGCATTAGCATGTCAGCTTGCACATACCTCACTTCTGACTAAAAATCCCTCAGAGAGTTGAGCTAAGATTAAGTTCAGTGTAATCTCCCTAGAGTAAAACAAAACAGTTGTATGCAAAACCAGGATATCCGTTGCTTCCCAGAAGTCATTTCAATGTGAAGATCACTTATCCCTTTCATCACCTTGATCTCCTGGAGTGCTACACTACTTTCAAAATCCAGGCCTTCATAGATGTCAGATACATTTTAAGTCAAATACTTCTCTGCAGCTGTGATGTGCACAAACAGCCTCTTAAAAGCAGGAGTCTTAAGAATATCAAATCAAAGACAATTACTGCTTGCACAGAAACTTTTTTTTATAGTTTAGGCATTCGTACACAGTAATTACATGGTCAATGAGAATTAAATACCTAGAGGAAAGCACTCATATCAAAAATCCATTCACAGTGACAAATGTAATTACAACCTGCTAGCACAAGCAAGTGGCAAAAGGTTAAGAATGACACAGTCGCTTATTAAGTAACTACGTTAGTGGATTTGGTTGCTTAAATATGAAGCTGAGAACATTTTAGGGTAATTTACAAAGACGTAAGGTGGCTTTTCTAAGGCACAAGATTCAGAAGTCCATCTTTGTTCAGGAATAAGTTTGAGTGGGTGTGGAAGCATTGTGGGGGGGTGTCACTATATGACGTGATTTTCTGCTTTCATCCCTTCAGCTGAACACCTTCATTTTCTGCAACTTCTGAAGGCTATTGATTAAAAATGTTTCATAACTTTCTTCCTCCAATTCATCATTCCTGTTCGACAAGTATGACACATTGTATAAAGAGGTTTAAAACAGTGATATATCCTATTCATATGGTAAGTAAGAGCTTTTTTCGGATTAAGGACCAAAACTCAACACTTCACAGTCATAAATGAGTACTGTAAAGTTTGTCTTGGATGAAATCTGAGATTGCTAAAGAGCAATTATGGAAGAAGTTGAAGATTTTTTTTTCCCCTGTGTTGTGTCCCTTTTTGAGGCATATGCCCATATTAATTGTCACGCCCATACAAAGAATGTGTCAGTGTTACTTTGGAGAGTATAGTTAGAAATGCTGGATAGCTTTAGGTCAACACAGTGCTTATGATAATTCAACTAGAGGCGCAAGACCAAAATTACTGGCTTTACAGTAAGTTCAGAGATAACGAAATCCTTCTCAAAAGAGCAAGAAAACAGGATGGAGTTCATTACCAATAACTGACAAATGTGCTAAAAACTAGCAGCCAGTATTTTCTCCAGCAAGGGAAGAATAAGGAACAACAGTATCTATTAACTAGGTACTTATTTCCTTAGGACAAGTGTGATGGCTCAGATTTACAGGTAACAATTCCACAATATTTGAGGTTAAAAAAAAAAATTCCTAGTGCTTCAATTTTGCTTCCTTATTCAAATGTCAACATAGAGAATTGCATAAAGATCTGTCTGTAAGTTAAGTACTTGAGAAGGAGCCGCAGCCAGATGAACCTGGTGCCCATGCTGATCTAATTATTGGGAAACACTGAATAGTGGCAGGTTTTCCCTATCCTGGAAGCCTTTTGATTTTTTTTCTTTTTTCCTAAGGATTTTTCTAAAAAATTCTCAAAATGCCTAAGATACGGCGCCAACCCAACATGTAAGACACTCAAACATGTTGTTAGACAATGAACTACTTAAAAAGATGGAATGCAATGCTGTACAGAAACATTTCTGTACAAGCTATGCTGGCGTGAGTCCAAGAATGATGCTATAGTAACACTACTATCTTGTTTCACATGCAACCTAAATCTCAGCAGGTGATTCCAATGCAGAGAACAAGAAAAAAAAACAACAAAATGATGTGATGTTCCATGGCACTTCACATAGTTTATGAGAAAAGAATGCTTTCTGCTGTTAGGATAAGCTGCCTATCCCCACAAATATTAAAAACATGAAGATGCCTCTTTATGCACTGTTGCATTTAGATAAAAACATCTCTAAAATGAAGAGAAAAAAGTGCATAACATCAATTTTGGAGATGTTGAGATGCTTCTAGGCATGAAGTTTTTCCTGTCAAGTCACACACTCTATCTACATCTTCTATCTGATAATGGGAAGAAAACCCAAACCTACTCTAAGTCACAGAAGAAAATATGACCTTATTCTTAATGTAAAACAAACAGAAAAACTTTATATGAAAAACATTATATGAACAACTGTTTCAGACATAAAAGCACTTACTTTAGCAGCCAAGGAATTGACTTCTTGTTCAGATTTGTGAAGTTTGCTAGTTAAAAGAAAGTTCTGCTCACGACACATCTGCAGTTCTTCCTCAATCCGACCAATGTGCTGCTGAGCTGACTTCTTTTCTGCCTTGAATAAAAGAGGTATCTGTGAGATTTTTGGAGCATTCTTGCTATTCACCTCTATGGTTCAAGTGATCTCCAAATATTACTAACCTTTCATACAACAACTATACACAAAAATACATCAACTTTGGTTAACAATATGTTCCCATACAGTAAGGGATATTTTACTCAGAAACAACAACTATTTTGACTAACACCACCTGCTCAGAATGACACACGTCTGCAATCCCACTTCAAAAGGCAGAGATAATCTGACTCAGTTAGAAGGTAGCACCTATTGCTACCAGTAAATTACTCAGCTCTAAATACAGGATCACCAGTACGAGTATTATAGCCTCAAGATATGAGATTTATTGAAGTATCAAAAAAGCAATTAAACCCAGGTTTTCACTTTATTTTTTCTAATTGCATATTTCCAGCAGGATTTTTTTTTAATAAGTTTTCTAAATTAAGAATATTATGATCCTCTTTAAAATGGGATCAGAGCACTTAGCAGAGATCCACATCACTTTGTAACAAAGTTATATAATGGTTATAAAGTGAAAAGGAAAGTAAACCATATATCCATATCTTGCAGCTACATGAGAAGTCTATATGCAAAGACTCACTAGCTAGGCAGGTAGCAAGAACTGAAGACAAGGAATGAAGAGGAACACTAAAACAGATCAGAAATAAAAGAAGTTCTTAAAAGATTGAACAAAAGCCAACAGTTATGGTAATGCATTGAAGAGCGAAGATACAGAGATAGAAAGGACAAAAAAAAGTTTTTCAAAAGAATGACAATTTTCCTGTAGCAGATTAACATATGGATGTCAGTTTCTAACTGCAACTCAGTGACAACTGCTGACACGAGTATTTTATTGACTGTGAATGTGGCATCACTCACAAGGACACAAGACAACAAATAAAGAAGAGTCTTACCTCTAGGGACCTTGCCAGACTCTGCAGCTCAGCTAACTGCCGTACTTGCACCCTTTGGACATTTTCTGCTTGTACACCACAATTGTCTCTTTCCGCTCTTAGTTCTGCTACTTCTGCTTCTAAGCCTTTTAATTTCTGATACAGTTGTGCTTTTTCTCTGGAGAGGACCTCCACACGTTTACTGTCCCTCGTGGGATCAACGCTAACCAGCTGATTATGGAGCTCTTCTTTATCTTTCTCCAGCCTCGCAATCTGATGGTTGTTAATTGGAAAAATATAAGCCTTTACACTGATTAGGTGTCACACAGCAATAAGTACAGTGGTTGATTGTTCAGGAAAGTCCAACAGCATGCATTTAAGTTACTATGAAATTACATTAACATTTATATTAGAACAATTAACAGACACAACAATCAATGCCTTTTTTTTTTTTTTTAATTCTGTTTTCACCAATAAGGCTCATCCTCAGATGTTCCTAAACTGCCTAGCAATTGGAGGAAGTAAATCAGCAGCTACAGCAGAGAAAGAAGTCGGGGATCACTTAAAGCACTGGATACATGAGCCCTTGGAATGAATCTTTGAGAAATCGTGGCAATCAGAAAAGGTTCCCAGAGTCTGGAAAGAGGCAGATGGTAAACACATGATTAAGAGGGGCGAACCAGTCAAGGAGGAAGATCCAGGAAATCACAGGATGGTCAATCTGTCTCTGGGAAGGTTACAAAGCAAACCCTCTCAGAAGTTTATCCATGCATCTGGAAATGACAAGATGATGGGAATGTAGAGCTAATCAAAGGCAAAACATGCTTGACTTCCTTCTAGGAAGAGGTGCTTGGCACTGCAGACTAAGAAAGCACACTAGATTTCACCAAATTGGTGAGATACGGGCTGAACAAGTATATAAAAAAGTAGGTGGAAGAGCTACTGCTGCACAGAAAGGAATCTGGGTATCCTGGCCAACAGCTATAGTGTTAGTCAGCAGACAACTGTAGTATTTAGTCAGAGTGGCCTTGCAGCAAAGATAACCTAATGTAACTGGCGATCTGGCAAAAAGACAGCCAGCAGATCCAGGGAAATGACCCTCTTCCTCCTTCCAGCTCTTGTAGGACCACAGCTGTGCCCGGTACTTGAATATTGACACATTGAATAAGTCCAGTAGTAGACACCGAGAATGTTGGAGAGTATGACATGAAGACAGGCTGAGAGAACTGGGCCTGTTCAGCTTGGATAAGAAAGACCCTGGAATAACTACTGTTTGCTACAGTGATTCTCCAAGAAGAGATAGAGAAGGTGGATCTTCTCAGAGGCACGTGGTGATAAGAAGAAAAGCAACAGATACAAGATGGAATATGAAAAATTTCAAATAGATAATAGGAAAAAATGTTTACCATGAAGGTGGTTGAATACTAGAATACTTTGCCCAGAAAGTTGTGGAATCTCCATCCTCACAGATGTTCAAGACTTGGCTGAGCCTAGTGCTGAGCAATCCAATCTCATTACATCTTATTATTTAAGCAGGGGGTTAGGCTAAACTAGAAGGAGGTCTCTTCCAACCTACCATATGATTCTATAGTTCTGTAACCACACTATAACTCAAGCACACTGGTAACTGAAGACAGTCAAGGTGACTCGGTCTGTCAGAAAACAAAGCAAGTTTCCAAGGCAGTACAAATAAACACAAACTCATCTTGAGACTGTAACAAACATATACACATAGATTCCAGTATTCCAAAATAAGTTACATGTACTAAACGTATTGTGAAGACCGGGAGCAAAAGAGTCAGAAAATAAGGTCTGAAAGAGCTTTCTCCATATTTGAAGACAATATTCCAAACCCTGCTCGGCAGCAGCACTTTTAGAAGTTCCATCAGTGATTTCCACAGAGCAAAGCCAAAATCTGCAGTAGTTGCCCTCTAAATCCCTTTCATGAGAAGATTCAAGTCTTACTGCATGACATGCCCGAGGCAGCATTAAGGAATTAGGATATTTTCGTAGCCTCCTTGCAATAAATAATGTGGGAGGTTAAAAAGGTTCTAAACATGAGAAAGAAACTAGACTATATTTTGCCCTGGGCTCAAGGTAATTCCATTCTTTTTAACTGTGCTAATTAGTTGCAGCATTAGCACAAACTCAACAAGCCCATAAGACAGGCAGGCTGTAAAGCAGCATGTGCAGTTAGCTCTGGGAAGGACAAATGTTCTGTTTTTAATGCTTTTCATTTCTGAATTTGGACTGATTTTGAAAGCAATGATTGCCTTTGATTTGTGCCTCATGTTTGGACTAATGCATCCAAATCTGGCATCTCCTGATATGCTCCCAGACAAATACTTAAATGAATATGCAAATGACATGTACAACACTCATTTACACTGCTGCGCGTATTTAAGAGATGAATGAGATGCCAATTTACTTAGCTACACTTTTGAAAGTCCAGTTCAGAAACAAACAAATTATGGACTGCTTATTCAGGAGTTGACATGACTGAAATCAAGTTACCAAAGCTTTGAGCATCCTGTTAGTATCATTTTTACTGTCATAATCCAACCTAGTTTCAAGACATGTTGCTACCAGGCAAGGGCACAATATCTTCTGAAATTTTTTCATTAGTTACTACATAAGTAATTTAATTTTTTTTTTAATCAGTTGCTCATATAACTTATTAATTTCAGGTTAGCGTAGTGTCTCATATCCTATCAAAAATGTGATTTCCAAAAAGCATGTAAGCAGAGCTACTAGTTGACATTCATTAGAAGGCAAGTCTACTCTTGTGATAGCACATACGATATTGCAACACATGACTGAATAAACCTATAGAGACAGCCTGAGGCTAAGTCATGAAAGTGTTTTGAGAATTATGAGAGCAGAAACACATACTACATTATGAAATTATGTCAAACTGACGATCCACCAAAGCATCAACAACTTTCACAGCATTCACACAGCTTTATCAGATACAGTTTAAGCTAATGCAATATCACGTACCTCTGCTTCATATTTTATTTTCTCCTCCTCTAAAACATGTTCATGTTCTTCTTTTTGATGCTCAAATTCTGATTTCAGGAAAGTATGCTCATAACGAAGTTTGTTATATTCTGTTCTGTATTTTTCCATTTCCTAAATCAGATAAATAAAACATTCAGTATGAAGTTGGCAGTTTTATCTCCACCTTCAAACATCCATGCAACGTTTCAGTCATTTCATAAGGGCTTTTGTGTAGGAATGGATCCCTCCCGCTCCTAGGGTTTCAGCCTTCACCTCCCGAGGCAGCAGTACTGAACAAGAGCAGGCAAAGCTAAGTCACACACATAGACTGCCCTTCACTTTGTTTCCTAAGGTTTTTAGGAACAGTTACAAATTGGTAGCCACCACTACTCTAAAAGAAACAAAATTAAATACTTGCTACTTACATTTTCTAGTTTCCGATAACGTTCTGTCATTGGAGATTCCAATTCCTGTTGTATTTGTGCTCTTAGCAGCTCTAATTTTTGAGGAGTTAGCACCTTCAGACAGAAAGGTATTCATATTCATTTATGTACATTGTGACAGACCAAATATCCATAAATAAAGTATTTTAAGTAGAGCCTTAGTATTTTAAGTTCTAAAGTCTTCTAAGTTCTGCTTAATTTTCTATGTTTTTCTAAGGAATTTTTCAAATGGTAGTTATAGAAGCAAAGAAATATAATATTAATGAACTAAAAATATTCTGGGAAGATAACAGATTTTAAATGTCAGCATTCACTGGAAGAAGCAGTACAAATGTCAGTCAGTGTCTGGGGATCCTCTGTTAGACACTGTATTTGTTTCCTAGGAACTATGCCTCATATTAGTTTAAGGAAACAAGTAACTATAGAAAACGTCATGCAACTGAATTTAAATGTTTTTGGTGTCACTTGTTTGTTTGTTTTCATGATGAGGAAAGTTGCCATCGAGAAGAGAAACAAGTATCTACTCTTGTAATCACCAGGGCAGATGATTCTCCTCATATCAGGACAACACACAATGACAGAGACTGAGGCTCAGACTGAGGGTCTCACTATTACTGTAGTACATGATAAAAGAATTTGGAAGATTTTGTTAAGAAACAAAAGAGTAATCTCACACCACAGTCACTCTAAGGAAGAAACACTATTCAGATTCAGTATGTTTCAAGATAACTGAAATAGATCCAAGCCAAGTGTATGCATGTTACAAACAGAACTAAAACATGGCCCTGATGCAAGATTCAGGTCCATATTAAGCTCTGCCAGTAAATTACCTCACCTGCATCTTCAGTTTTTCCAACTCTTGTGTTTTACCCAGCAACTCCTCTCTGTATTCCGCAAGAAGAAGCTGGAATTTGTCATGTACAGCCTGCTTTTCAACCAGCAACCGCTTCAGTTCATCTTGGGACTTTGTATACTCTTCCTGTAACCTGTAAGAGAAAACAAATTTCTTTTATAGCTACTCTCCAAATTAAAGCTCGGAAAGCTCATCTTCAGAAACAAAAATTAAAATATCAAGATTGAATTAAGCTTTTAATAGCCTTTTCCTGTAACACATTTAAAACTTATTTCACACCTATAATGTCTTAAGGAATTCTGAATTATTTTCTGCAGTAACCAATACTCAAAAACATCCCTAAGTAGAGAAATAGCCAAGACACACAAAACCCCTTCCACCCAGCACCGCGCTCCATCTTTTAACAGTTCAAATGAAGAAACCTATTAAAATTCATGTACCTTAAGTGTTCTGCCTTTATAGTTTGATAATTTGCTTTATGGTGCTCACAGCGCATTTTTTCATCAATCAGAAGCTTTTGCAATTCTTGTGAATTGGCTGCATCACCATTTCCAACCACGGGAGGAAGGAGACTGCCCAAAGTATCCATTTTATGATGACCGTTCACGATGGCTATTGAGAGGCCGAAGTAAAAAATTAACTTATAACAAAGGTACGCCAACATCCACTTTTTTGGCTGCCATCCCAGAAGGCAGGGTGACCTGGCACAAATAGAAGCAGATGCAATTAGCAATCAAGGACACTCACTGCTCAAAGGCTTCACATGCCATTTTTGCTTTCAATACAGAAGAATCCTGGCTCCGCTGTAACTCATATCAGAAATCTCCTGCTGAAAAGGCAGCTATTCCCTGCTTGTACTCTCTCAGGGACACATAATTAAGTTAGGAGGAGATTATTTGAGTCAGTACAAAACAAGCACAAGCATCTTGCCAGTCCCAGACCATATAAAATGCTTTTTTTACTTATTCTGTATGCTGGGAATCCGAGCATGGAGTTCATTTTGTCCTGCTGACTACGGTTCAAGGAGAAGACAGAGACATCAGACACAAACAGCTTTTGCTTATCACAATCACAGTGTTTCTCACTACCTATCTACATCACGCTGCTCAGCACACCATCACATCAGCTGGAAGAACAGGGACAATCCCCACTGCTGAGGTTCTACCAAGCCCTTTCTGGAAAAGAGGAATGATTTCATGGGCACCCACCTTCCAGACTACCCAAAGTTTAGCTCCAACACGTATCACCAACACATATCACTTCCTCATTTTTGAAGTTCACATGGTGGGTTTTTGTGAACTTTCCAGCAAGAGTTTTGCTAAATATGACAATCTCAGGGGGATGTGAGAAAGCTGCAAATCACCAGATGCTGAGAAACAAGGAAGTATTATAATAATATAATATACCTCACCAAATCTTTTTGGTATTCAGAGCAAGATATTGCCTTAGACTGATCATTGCTGCAGCTTCTAGAGGATGTGGGGAAGGAGGGCCACAAGTGAATTTTAGGGAAGTTATAAGATTTAAAACAACTGCTCTGCCATTATGCTTTCAGCATAACAGACTGGTGCTTAAGTGGCAGTGTGAACAAAACAACTTACTTCTCCAGCATCAGTAAGTACCTCACCTTCTTCACATTTGGAGCTGGACACATCACATTCTCCTGCATTCTAGTCCCCAAATCTTCCACAGACCTGCCTTAAATGCTCAGCATTTGATTCTAGAAAGCCCCAAACTACAAACTAGATGAAAATTATCTGCTAGATAGGAAAAGAAACATGCATTAGTGCCCAATTTCTTCCCCTGTCACTATATGGGAAAAGGTGAGAGCAAAGTCTATCTGTGTTCCAACACCAGCACATGATGACAACAGCAACTGCTTTTTCATTCTGCTCTGCCCAAATCTGCTGAGGATAAGGAAGAGGAAATTGGAATAAAGAATGTTCTCCTCAATGGCTGCCCTATACGCATACACTGCACATTTTGTACATGAACAGAATAAATTCTGAAGAAGCTTCTAATCAAACTAGGATCTGTTTTTCATTCCTGGCTTTTGTTCGTTGTTGAGAAACAAAGCACAGTAGCCATTTTCAGACTCAATATCATGGCATTTGCTATTGTTCAAGCAGCAGCCACGTGGGAAAATCTGCTCAGAAACCCTAAGGACAATAAGCTATGTGAGAGGACAAAAAGAACTCCAGGCAGCATGCTCCTCAGAATTTCTAAGCACATCAACAAGGTTAATCGTGACCGCCATAAAAAAAGAAAAAAAGCAAGCAGTACTTCTCTTCATCACAGATCTCTGGTTCCATAAGCTGCAGTACCAAATGTAAACATGCAACTGTACACCAAGCCGTAGAACTAGGTGCACAGGGCTTGGGCCTGGACCACACAGCTCACATGAACAAGAAGTGCTTCTGAAGCTGTATGACAGACACAAATTCAACATCACCACAAAACCATGGAGTTTTCTGACTAAAAGAGAGGAATGGAAATGCAGGCCTTTGTACTTTCAGTTCCAAGCCTTCACATGCACTCTCACAGCTTTCACTACTATCAGAAACTCCAAAGATTAGAAAGCAACACACGTGCAGTTATGCATTCATCTGCCTAAAGGCTGCAAGTAGAAGAAAAGAGGAAAGAAGAAAAGGGAAAAAACGCGGCACACAAAACCATTTCACACCCTCAAAAAACCTAAACTGGATGTACTAAAGGCAACAGAGCTATTTTGGCTTGCAGGGACATCTAGTGGCAAACTTCGCGATTTGCAATCCGCAGCGATAGATTTCTCGACGACCCTTTCCTTGAAACTATTGACAGCAATTTGCAACATTTAAACAACTCGCTTTCTTATTTTTTTTTTTTTTCTTTTTCAAAACAAAGTAGAATCATACAATCACTCAGGCTGGAAAAGACCTTAAAAATCATCAAGTCCAACCATGACCTAACCACACTACCCTAACTAACAACCCACTGCCAAATCATGTCCCTGAGCATCACATCCAAAATGATTTTAAACACATCCAGGGATGGTGACTCAACCACCTCCCTGGGGAGCCCATTCCAGTGCTTAACCACCCTTCCTGTAAAGAAATTTTTCCTGATATCCAACTTAAACTTATCCTGGCTCAACTTGAGGCCAATCAGTAATTACTGATAGGGCTGCTAATGCTCAACTACTGACATGAATCTCTCCTGTGCCAGTGGCAGTATGTCAGCTATATCAGCCGATGCCTAGCCCTAAACACCTTCAAATTTCCCCAAGACCACACATGCCATTTTTGAAAAACACTTTCCAAGAGTGCTAGTTAAAATTCCTGCCTCCCATGAAGACCTGTTTGAAAAGTAGAGAACCATAAAATACACTTTAAAGAAACTAAAACCCCAATGTACATAATGTTATTTGTACATTTGTCAACTTTTATCCTGCTACAGAACTGTAAACTTTTGTCAGCTGCCCAAATCCACACTATGAAATCTTAACATGATGTTACGCAGGTACATACAGAAAAATATTGGTGCAAAGTCCTGAAGCTTCAGTTATATTTTTGGTGGAAAATGAAGCTAAGTGAAGGAAATGAGCTATCTTTCCTAGAACCACCTTTGTTCTGCCTTTCTTCTCCAGTTATTATCTGCATACAGAAAGAAACACTGCTTAAAGACCTACTTCACCTCTCTATCCTTTATATCTACACATCACGCAAGGACATTTTCATAAGATCTTTGAGCTATATTATTTTAAATGCCGCGTCGTTTTCTTTTTCGAGGGGTGTGGGGGGAGGTTCTTTTTTTTCTGCGTTACCCTCCTGCTCTCTCCAGCCTCATTCCCAGATCTGACATCCATCAGATTTAACTCAAGAAGCCAATAAGCTCCGACAAGCAGAAAACAGCCGTTTTGTTTGGTGAGGTCAACGAGGCACGTTAGCTCATGGCACAACGCAGCCAGCTGCAGTGCAAGCAGGCAACTGGTACTGGCTGGCACGAAGGAACAGAGAGCCAAATAAGGAGGCAGAAGGAGGGACGAGACTTTCTCTTTTCAGACACAGAGAGCAGCCGCATCACTAGTTTAGATGCTCACGCACTCACAGCCTGGGTTTGCAGATAAAGTTAGGTTATATTAGCCCTACCTGACATGCCTCTGCAGCACAGCAGGGATCAGACTTCCCACCAACACCACAGTCAATGAAAACTAACACAAAACTGAGCATAACTTGAGAAACACGGAAGCCTGGCACTCTTCTGCCCCTGAACTTCGGACGCTGGGAAGTTGCAGCCCCGCAGCCCCACACGGGACACGAGACCGAGACAACCTCTCTCTGAGACGCGTTGCCCGCTCCTCCCCGCTTTACAGACCCCTGCAGCGGAACGACGCCGCCGGACGAACAGAGCAAGGCCTGGGAAGGCTGAGCGCACGCCGCACAGCCGAACCCCAAGCAGGAAACCCCCTCCCGCCCCACAACACACCTCAAGCCGCCCAGCCGCCCCCGCCAGGAATTTAAAAATGGCGCCGCGCCCCGCCTCGCCTCACCTTGCCGCCCGCTCGCGCCGCCGCCCGCCGCGGCCCCGCAGGGTATCCTGGGAAAACCGGGACGGGACGCGGCGAGTGGGCGGGGCGGCGTTGCCGGGGTAACGGGCTCACGCTGCCTCCCCGCTCCCGTTTGCGCCTGCGCCGTCGGCCTTGGCACCGCCCCCGCTGTGACGGGCTGGGCTGCGGGTTGGCGGTCTGCGTTCGGCTGTACCGCGGCACTGCTGCCCGGTTCTGTGCTGCGAGGCGAATGAACGCCGTACTTCATTTAGCCGTGTCTGAAGAGAGTTACAGCCAGAAGACTCCCGACAACGATAGCTTTTTTCTAGCCGGCCCACAGCAGTGGGAAAGCTTGAGGCAAAGCAGAGATCTCTTTTAGGCGTTTGCTTGGGGGCACTGCTGGCAGCATGCGAATGGCATCGTCAGCTCCTACAACAGCAGGGTATCTATAACTGAGCAGCGCGGTGTCGGTGCTGGACAGCTAAGCTGTACCTTGCGTGGTGTAAACTGCCTGAAAAAATAATACCTCTGGCCTTGCCAAAAAACAGAAGGTGAAATCGCTTTTAAATGCCGTAGTGCTGTGATAAGAGTCTGTCCTGGTTAAACAGAGCAGTTTTTACCGTGGAGCTCATTAGGACCTGAATATAATTCTTAGCATGCGGTAGCACAGAGTGTATGCTAGCACATAAGACCACAACAAATAGAAACCATGAGGCAGCTTATGAAACCATTACGCAGTCAGATGTGTTGTACAGGACTGCTGACCGCACAGGCATCTCTAGCGTTCTATCAGCATGTGCATGGCTATCTCTCACTTCTATGTGTTGATCATCTGCTTCCTTCCCCTCTACAGCTATGACTGAAAGGGGTGTTTTCCAGATTAGTGCCAAATTACTAAAATTGTACTCATCAGAGAAAAACTGCAGGTGGAATTTATTGGTCTACTGGGAGATTTCACATCTGAGCATACTGTACTTTTGTATGTTACGGGCTTCAGATCTGACTGCACTTCCATTCCCATTCAATTGGCTCAGTTCTAACCACGCTAAAAGACAGTTTTTCCTAATTTACATACATGTAGTAGATGGATGAGAAGTGCTCACGACTGCTTCAAATGTAAGCTCCTCCTTTATCAAGCATCGTCTCCAGGCAAGCATGGTGATACAGTGCTTGCCCAGCCATGGTGGAGGTGAATCCACCTCCATTGGTAGGCCAACCTCCGAGGGCTCACCGAGCGTCACCATCAGGTTGATCAACATCCATTGGCTCTGGTTCGCTGCTGCTCCCCTGAAGCAGAAACTTCTTCGGTGGAGGGGGATCCATCCTCTTCCACAAAGGACTGCACTGGGTAGGAAGGGACCTTAAATTGTTCCTTGTGTTAGATAACTGCACAGGTTGGTTAGAGACTGGTGTTCTGTTGTCAGAGTCGCTGCTCTGACAGTGGTTTATTTATAGTGGTTGTATTTATTGGGAGGTGGCTTGTGACCAAGCCGTGGCAGTGTGGCCATAAGAATGTCCCATGAGAATCAGAACATGGCTGTGTCGGGCAAGGGGAGGCTATGGCCTGTGAGTTGCCCTAGTTGGCACTAATGGGATTCCACAGGGCTCCGTTTTTGAACCAGTTCCTTTTCATGTTTTCATCAATTACTCCAACAAAGATCTAAAAGTTATATTAAGTAAATTTGTAGATGACGCTAAACTGGAAGGAGTGTTGATTACCTTGAGGGCAGAGATGCTTTGCACCAAGATCTTGACAAATTGGAGGGTAGCCCCCTTCTGCATGAAGACTAAGTGCTGAATTTTGCACCTGGGATGGGGCAGCCCTGGCTCTTTGTACAAACTGGGGGATGAGGAGTTGGAGTGCAGCTCCATGGGAAGGGATCTGAGGATTCTGGTTGATAGCAAGTTGAATGTGAGGTAGCAGTGTATTTTGGCAGCCAGAACCCAGCACTGCCAGGTGTCGAGGGAAGGGCTTGTCCTGCTCTGCTCTGCGTTGTGACCTCACCGCAAGCACTGGCTGTAGGTTTGGGCACCACAGTATCAGAAGGACATGAAACTATTAGGGAACATCCAAAGGAAGGCTACAAAGATGGTGAAGAATCTGAGGCCAAGGAGTATGAGGAGCAGCTGAGAGCCCTGGTTTGCTCGGCCCAGAGCAGAGGAGCTGTGGGGAGGCCTCATGGCGGCTGCAGCTCCTTGCAGGGAGCAGAGGGGCAGCGCTGAGCTCTGCTCTCTGAGCCCAAGGGAACGGCATGGAGCTGTGTCAGGTTATGGTCAGGTTGGGAGTTTGGAAGAACTTCTTCACCAGCAGGTGGTGGGCACTGGCACAAGATCCTCAGGGCACTGGCCATGGCCCTAAGCTCCTGCATTTCAAGGAGTGTATGGACAACACCCTCAGGCATAGGGTTTGATTTTGGGTGGTCCTACGTGGAGTCCAGAGTTGGACTCAGTTATCCTTGTGGGTCCCTTCCAACTCAGGATATTCTGTGATTCTGTGAAAACACTGGTCAGAGTGTGCTATGCACTCTTCAAAACCTAAGAAACAAGCAGCTCAGAACAGATGATGAGTGAGACGCTGTTTTTATGTCTGGTTTGTTGGCATGTTAGCAGGGGCTGTTCAGCTCATCTCAGAAAAGGGCAGAAATTATTAGCAGCTGGGGTGGACCCTGCTGTTTGTGAATTGAGTTAGTCTTAATATAGAAGTTGAGTTCCAGGCATCTGTGTGAGACTCAGCATGACAAGACCAGTCTGTAGGTGACCTAGGAGCAACTGAATGGGAGGAATAGGAAGATATAGGAAGTACAGCATGAGCCCAAAGCAAAATGCTGTTACTGCACTGTTCCTTCTCCATTCATGGTATAAAAATAAGATCACTGCTACTGGCTGCCAGTGCCCGATGACAGAAACTCTGCTTTATGAAACGGAAATATAAATGCTTTGCTTCATGTCAGCGATGTTTGCTATTAGCCACATCATATATTAGATTTTGTGGCATGTGACCAAGATTTCTGACAATAGCGTAAAAAATTTGGCTTTGGTTTCAATTTCTGTTTTCCAAAAAAGTAATCCAGAGTGAGTCCAGCTGCTTGGCACAATAACATCATGTTTGCAGAACAGGTTCACACAAGCTCTGAGAATAGCAGGATGATATCTCCTGTGATGTTTACAGATCTACTATGGCACAGATGTAAATATAGTTCAAATGACCAGTTGGATCAAAAATGCAACAGAGCACAGTGCTCAGATTCTTCAGTACTTTAAAGCTTTCTTTCAGTTCAGTAGCACTGCTACTGACAAAGAGAAACCAATATGGGTTGGAGTGATCAGACAGTAAGCTTAAGAAACAACTTCCATCATCAAATAAATGTAAATATGTTTTATTAAAAAAAAAAAAACGTCAACGGCACCTTAGAGGCAGTCATGACTACACAACAAAATGTACAAAAATTATGTTTTTATAGTTGCATCTTTCCACTGTGGTGCACAAAATGAATACGCTATGAGAAACATTGGAGATTGCACATTGAGACAATTAACTCTAGTCAAATAAAACAGACAATTTCTGGTACAGGTTAAGATTAACAGGTCTAGCTTTCTTGGGGGGTGGTGGGGAAGGAAAGAAAAAAAAGGAAAGGAAACGTGGCTTTGTGCAAAACTTTCCAACAACAGTGCAATTTCATATGATGTGCATAAAGCAGATCAGCTGTACAAGATCATTTGACAGTCCTCATGCAGTCTTTACATACAGCATCAACTCCTTTTTTTTTTTTTAGGGACAATATACAATTCCATTAACTATTAGAATTTTCCTAGTCTTTCATTGCTGTAATGTGAAATGGCCTGATTCTTTCTCCTGGATTCTATCCAGCATCAGAGACCATTCAAACTTTATTTGAAAACAAGGCTCTTATCAACTGTTGCCTTTTAAATGGGAGCAATATAATTAAAGGACAAATTTTGGCATGACAGTAAAAAAAAATAAAAACGCAAAAAAACTCAGACAGTTGAAAGATATCTGCTTGATTAAAAAAGAGGAGAGTAAAGTTGCCTGATTGCAGTTCCTAGCTGGTCTTTCAGAAGTGATTAAATTCTGTTATCCAAATTAAAATGTTTAATTACGTTAATCTGTGCTTACCTTCTGCTGCACCACTGAATCCAAAATTAATATATCTGTATCACAGTAGAGATGGGCTTGGCTTCCAAAATCCCATACCAGCTAGATGAACCACAAGCTTCTGTTTTGTTTTGTTTTCCCAGATTATCTCTTGTTCATTAATTTTAACTCCAGAAAGCACTACTTTTGTTTACGTAGTTGACTTTGGATCAAGCATAAGCCTGGACTGATTCCTCCTTGAACAACACCATTCAACTTGAGCTTAAAATATTTGAGTTCTTGTCTCAAATATTATTCTGTTATTCTGTAGCTAACAATTAGCTCGTAACTCTTAACGATCTTTAAATTATGTTTACGCTGGATTTACCCAGCTTCAACTTCCAGTCATTGTATTTTTGCTACAGCAAGTTGGCTTCACCTATTCTATTTCTAGTCCCCAGATAAACATTTGTGGTTTTGTTCAAAAAAAACACACCGGGTTTTAAAGATCCTTCATATGCAGGTCCCCGTGCAATGGTTCTGCAGCAGAGACACTGCATAACACAGGTGTTTTGAAATTAAACCGTAAGGACAGGCATTAAAAATTAACTGAAGGACATTTCATTTGGAGAACGACATCAAAGGGAAGTGAAATAATTGACTATCAGACAGCATCAGGCAGAAAAGACATTGGCAATTTTTTGTAGAGTGAGAGTGTATTAGAGACTCACGATGAGTAAGTGCAGTAAGTATACTAAGAATGACATTTAATGTGTTGTAGGAGAACAGAAAAGCTCACACTGTCCTGACAGAACACGGTCAGTTGATTGAGAAGTTAAACAAGGTTCTCTCTGCA